GAAATAGACGGAAGTGAAAAGATATCGTCACTATATTATAAAGACTCTTGGTGATATTGAAATAAACACAAACATGTAAATGCCAGGTTGTTATTTCAAATATACCAAAAGACCCTTTACGGGAGAGAGGGAACCTTGGTTTTATAACCTTGTTGTTGATTGAAATTAATTAACATATTCCAAAAAGTTAATTCTTACTGGTTTTGTTTAATACATGCTACAAATAGGACTACAAACTACTACATAAAATTTCCAACGGAGATCACGATTAAATAACAGAGTGAATATGATATTCAACCGTCATTATTCTATCAAGAGAATACAACAGTTTTCAATTCGCAAAAACAGTTGTTATTTTTAGAAGATCAAAATCTGGCCTATACTTATAAATCACACAGGGATGAAGGAAGAGAAAATTCTTTTAAATACGTTTGACATTTTAATGAAAAAAATTAATCTTAACAAAGCCAGAAATATCATTAAATGCTTTGATACAGTGGCACAGTCTGTTTGTTTTGTTCACTCATCGTTGTCAATATAATGGAATTTGATGCGACTGTCATACACCTGAGAGATTTAGCTAGCTATAAAACCAGGTTCAAACCACCATTTTCTACATAAGAAAATGCCTGTACCAAGTCAGGAATATGACAGTTGTTATCCATACATTTGATGTGTTTGAGCTTTTGATTTTGCCATTTGATTAGATACTTTCCTTTTTGAATTGTCCTCGGAGTTCAGTATTTTTGCGATTTTACTTTTTTTCTTGAAAAAGTTACTCCCTTCAACAACGAGAAAACGCATAATGTATTGTTTGCGTTGCAAAACTCCGGGATATGTACAAAACATTTACAGAATTTACCAACCACTGTTTTTTTTTTTTTACAATTGTTACGATGTCACACAAATGAGACAAATTATTACTTATTATGTCTTTGATTTTTTGCTCATACATTGTTGTCAATATAAAGGAATTATCACTGTCATACAAGTGACAGGTTTAGCTAGCTATAAAACCAGGCTTAATCAACCATTTTCTATAGGAAATGCCTGTACAAAGTAAGGAATATGGCAGTTGTTTTCCATTCGTTTGGTGTGTTTAAGCTTTGGAGGTTGTCATTTGATAAGGAACTTTTCGTTTGAAATTTCCTTTCGAGTTCGGTATTTTTATTACTTTACGTTTTATGATACACAAGAAAATGTTCATCAACCCAACACTGGTCCTAAAGGTTAGCTCACCACCGCCTGGAAGGTCTCGTTGTATAATGTTTGCGTCTAGTGAGTTGAGGTCGTGAGTTCGATACCTGACCGGATCAACCAAAAAAACTTGTTATGTAGTATTTTCATCTTCTCCGCTTACCACATATCAATAATACACAGAAACATAGGACATGCTTATCGGCTTGATGTCATAAAAATGTGCCTGCGTAAGGCTAGTGTGACATGTCTTCCATTGAACTAAAACGTTTAAAGTACGACCGGTCCTGTCGATCTAAGACAATGCAGTATCCACACTCATATTACATGAACATATTCTCGTTTGATCAGCATTTAATAAAAGGAAGGTGTTCCCCGTAAAAGAGGATGAATATCCGTATCATTTTCCGTGATACCTTTTTGGTAATCAGATATACTGTAAAAAAATGCGGGTAATCGTATTCTTTAACATTGTTTCCTTCATCAATAGCGTTTTACTGCTTTTGCCTCTAATATGTGCTACTGGGAGTTTCACAGCTATCCATATATATCCAGGCATCAATACATAACTTAGATTGCGATTTAACAGGTTAATTTTGATATGGTTTGGTTGACGGTTTCTATTTACCCCGCTGTCACGGTCATAAAAATAACTCGACATATTTTACTACTAGAGTGTCATGTGAAATTTAACAAAATCATAGAGGTTATAGTGATAAGAGTTCATCAGAATTTGAAATTCTTACCTAATTTAGATTTGCTACTGTCAAATTAAAAAACTAAAAAAATGACGGATAAAGATTAACTTATGTTTTTAAATTTCAGTTTGGATTTTGTTATATAGATAAGATTTAGTTGTCAAACATGTCAAATGAAAAACAAAGTTTTAAGATTAGACATAGGTAGATTGGAAAATAAAAAGAGGGATTCAATTTTAAATCACCTCAGGATCACAGCGCAGATATACATCATGATCATGTACATGTAGTATGTTACAACGCATTAATAAAATAACGTACTTTTTTGTATTTTAGATAAATTAGAATGTCCATTTGATATGCTGACATTTTTGTATGCATCATGTAATTGCTTCATGATTTTAACTTTTATTCATAGAATTTTTATCCTAAAAGTCCACATTTTTTTTTACCTACGAAAGCTTTTTCAAAAACTGTTAATGTCCTTGATAAAAGTATAACCATAAAAGTTCTTGTGCAGTAAGGTCAGTTTGTAGGACTTTAAAAGCGGAAATTAACAGGGGGTCGTGTGTTTAATACTATCGAGTGCATAATTCCCGTAAACTATTCAAATCCATTGTGCAGTGTCCAAAAACGAATATAATTTGATGAAAAGTGATACGTTAGAACAATGATTTCATTTAATGGAAATATCCTCCCTTACGTTTCAAATCTTATGTAAATATTTGAACATTTATGAATAGTAAGTCTTTGAAAATTTACTTTAGTGTATTATTAATAGTTAAACATAGATGATGCATATGTGTAAATATTTCAAGCGATTTGTTTTATATACAGCATTTGTACAGCAAGCAATCAATTTATGTCTGTAAATAGACAAATATTTGTTGACATTGTTCGCATTTGTCAGACTTTGTCAGTCTACTTATATCCCATAAAATAAATGACAAACTCCCAAAAAATGACATTTGATCTTTCTTAACATTCTTAAAGCAAACAAAATGGCAGTATATTATTACGTATCCGGTAACAACTAGATAATATAGCTAGGAACAAATTGATATGATGTGTGTAACTTGTTAATCTGTTTTCTGACAAAATAAAGGGGAAGTTATTTATTACTTTATGGCCTGATATGAACTAGTTGAAGACTTCGAGAAGATTTTTATAATCAATACATGCTTTACAAAACGAATGTATAGAAACTCATCCAAGATACCAGGATAAAAATTGTGTACGTCAGAGTTTCGTCTTCAGAAGACTCGTCAGTTACGCTCGATTCAAAAGACAAAAACATTAAAAGGCCAAATAAAGTACGAATTTGAGGCGCATAGGGGACCAAAAATTCCGAATGGTTTAGACATATATAAATGAGATAATCTTGGGGTAGAAAATTCTCTTTTTTTCGAAAAAATCTTAGTTTTGTAAAAATTTATTTCTTATTTGTAACTGCGTTCGTTTTGGAAAAAAGTAAGTCGTCTAGTTCACAGATATTTATTAAAAATGACATAAATAGATAACCCTGAAAGTACACAAATAACCAAACATAAATACATAGACAATATGGTGTACAAAGGGATATAACTCAAATTCATTTAACGGAAAGTACATGTCCACATATATCTGAATATAGCCAATACAATCTAAGTGCATATATTTAAAATGCATAATTCCAAATAATCTCAATCATATACCATGTCCAGATTAAGTGTTATATTATGTCTACTGAACTCAAATTGAATACTAAACAAACAAAGACAATAAAAGTCGACTAGAAAAAAACATAAAAAAAACTGATCGTAACATGTAAATAGTAGCAAGGTCTATTCCTTTTAATGGTAACATTTGCAGATTACTAAATACATCAAGATATTCTTAATCCGCTTGTTATGTTAATGTTGGTCTTCATCTCACTAGTAAAGTCTTCTTCATGATACAAAATTGTACACTCTCTCATTAGTTTAAGAAGAAACATAGCAGAAGTTTAACGAATTTCTTTGCTGGATGACCTTACAATTATGCAACAATCTGTAATATTGATAGCTGTTTTTTAATCTAAAGTTTTCTACACGTACACAATTTGTATCCTGGTTATGAACTTTGTTAGTAACATCTTTGTTCCTTTTATTATTTTCATCATACTGCATGCAACTGAAGCTTTGATTATATTAGTTTGTATCTATCAACCGACTGCACATGAAAAATAGAATGCCGTATTCGTAGAAATAAAAAATTAACATACCTTGATATATCACAAAGTACAAGAAACATCATTTGATACTCTTTTAGTTTTGGATCATAAACTCTTATTCATTATTAGTAAAAGTTATATAAAATTATAATATGATTGATGAAAACATTGATAATTAAAAGAAAGACATCGAATTAATACATAAAGCGTCATTTAGACGATACCAGGCATTGTTTGTTAAAGAAGACAATGCACATATGTTTTCCATGAATCATATCTGTTCGGTTTTGAAGAGGCTGACTCTATATACCAGTGCGAGCACCTCGCCATATCTTGATAAACCTGATGTTTATCAAGCAAACAATTATATCAACAGAAAAGTGATCGAAGCGTAATCAACGAGCAGTTAAGAGTATCCAATAGTATTGGATTCCAACAACACATCACAGCTAATGCCTCTGTAATCACGTAATCCTCCGCTTTTATAAAAGAAAATTGTAGCTTTTTCACTGGACTTTGACGGTAATTAAATCTTGAGGTTTTTTTGTTGTGTTGTAATTTTTTTAAAACTATTACAACATGTACAATATTATATAAGCACAAATATTTTGACAATGAGCAATAATATGTTTCAGAGTTGAAGAACAATTTAAATGCATGTCAGATTAATAATAAATGTTGCCTTTAATCTTAATGATATATAAAAAGTAAAATAAGTTTTCAAGTTTCTTCTATTTATACTGAAGGATAGTTTTCTGTGAGTCGATATTTCAAATACTGTGATTTTTTATCGTGTGCTCATTGAACTATAACGTGTTTCTACCGTAGATCTCGAATTCTTTTGTTGTCAAGCTAAACGAAACATTTACATTTCAATAGAATAATAGTAGTGGGTGTATAAAAGTAGTTCGACACTGTTTCCTTATAGTCGCCATTTTGTGTATTGTGATTTATTTATAAAACGTTCAAAGAGTTAAACAATCAGGAAATAGTATCAGGTTATAATTACAATTACATTATAATCCAATAAACACGGAAAATTGTAAGACAATAGGCAAATAAACCAGAAACAAAATTGTTTTAACATGACAAATATATGATAGAACGTAGAACATGAGAGCAAGAGAAACAATTTTGAAAAGAAAACAAAATACCACTGGTAAGTAATTTTTATCACTGGCTATTCATTTAAGTAATGCACAGAAATAATAAGTAGTAAGCCATTTTCTTTGAAGCAAGAATCAACATGTACCAATGTTCATTTGACTGGTTGATTTTTCACAAATAGTGTGTACTATGAATGGATCTTATATTGCCCTTTCTTCTACATATCATTTGACCTGTTCAATTATTTCATTGATAAATATTCTGGCCATGAAATTGAATCTTTAAAACCAAGCTTTCAAATTTAAATTAAGGATCAGTGAAATTGCTGATCAAATTAATATGTAATATGCAACATCGAATATAATATTTGTTGATTAAGAGTTTATGATATCGGTTGGAAACTTATGCATTGGTCTACAATTTTTATATTAATATGATATAAAAGCTATCTAGAATGAATAGAAACTTGAATTGGTATGAATATACCCAAAGTTTTGTTAACAGAAATATAAAACGAAACATTATCATTTCTCAAACAGTACATTAGCCTTTAGAATGCCATACTATTGAAAATATCTTAACATTTACCGAGTGTATGGCAGACGGTTTATAATTGGCACAGTTTTACATTTAAATGTTAACATTTAAATGTCAATAGAACAACCAAACAACCTGGCATTCTGTAAGATCAATGTATAATTGAGACAGCTATAGATTTTTATGAAAATCTAAGTTTATTTGGAAAAGTTATAAAAAAAATTAAAAGTGACTGTCTGAATTTAGTCCGAACTGAAAATTCTAGCTTTTTTTTTACCTATTATGTAAATCCTTAAATTTGACAGCAATATATCAAACTACCAGACAATTCTCATTTAAACTTCAATAGTATAAAAGTAGCGTGTGTATACAAATTGTTCGACACTGTTTCCTCATAGTCGCCATTTTGTATAAGTACTGTAGATGTGATTTATTTTTTAAACATACTGGGAGTTTAAAACTCAAGTAGCAGTAACAATTTCTTAAAAATTCAATAGTCACGGAAAATGCAAGAAAATGGGCACATGAACAAGCAACACAATTTTTCTAAACAAAATAAATGATAGAAAGAGGAATAGGAGAGCAATCTAAGATATTTTGATAAGAAAAGCAATCACCACTGATAACAGAAATTCAATCACTGGCTGTTTTTTTTTATAACAAAAATTACAAAAAAGCAGATATCTTTCAATCAAGAAACAACAAGTACTTATGTACTGTTAATCATTCACAAAATATGTCCATTGTAAATGCATATAATACGGTCATACATGTATAGTCTACCAAACAGTGGACATGTTCACTTATTTCTTTTATAGATATTCTGGTCAGTACATTTAAGCTCTGAATAAAAAAAGGCATGTGGAATTTTAAACAGAGAAGGTACTTTACATGCAACGTCTAATATCAAATTTGTAATCTGACAGTTTAAGATGTCCGTTGAAACCTGTATAATTGTTTTCGTTTTGTCGTTTATCCCAGATTCATTAGAAAAAAATCTCTCTCTCTCTCTCTCTCTCTCTCTCTCTCTCTCTATATATATATATATATACATATGAAAGGACAAAGCTTTTTTTTAACAGAAATACAAAACAAAACTTTAATATTTATTATACCATTCACCAGTCTTTAGTCTTTATGTTATACAAATGATATCATCTGAATTACAACGGGTGTAAGGCAATTTGCTTAAACTGTAATCATTAACGCATATAGATGTAACTGGAAATACAAAACATGCTTGATTCAAATATACCAATTCAATATCATATAAGTAGAAATATACTGAATATGAAAGATATTATAGACCAGAGTTAATGAGTAATCGAAATGTTAGTCAATCTTGATTATACACAAGTTTCTTCCATTGATAAGCAAAATTTTCTATAAGTTCATATTTCAAATACATACTGTGAGATTTGTTTCCTTGTGCACAATGAACTGTGACGTATATATTTACCTTAGGTATATTAGTATTCTGTATCTGGGTAATAGAAACATTAATATTTCAATAGAAAAAATGTAGCGTGTGTATAAGAATAGTTCGACATTATTTCCTAATAGACGCCATTTTGTATATGTACTGCAGAAGAGAATTGTTTTTCAAATGTACTGGGAGTTTAAAACTCTTGAAATAATATCAGGGCAGTAACAATTTCTTTATAATTCAATAGTTACGGAAAATGCAAGAAAATTGGCACATGAACCAGCAACACAATTGTTCTAAACTAAATAAACTTATGATGGAAGGAGGAATAGGAGAGCAATCCAAAATATTTTGATAAGAAAGCAATCACCACTGAATCGCAAGCACTGGCTATTCATTTTGATAACAAAAATTACAAAAAATAGAAGTAGGAAACAATTACCATTCAAACAAGAAACAACAAGTACTAATGTTCTGTAAATTTTACACAAATCTGTCCATTGTTAATGCATACAATATGGCCATATAGTCTACACAACAGTGGACATGTTCACTTATTCGATTTAGGGATATTCTGGTCATGAAATTTAAGCTCTGAAAAAGAATAAGGCATATGAAATCTAAATTAAATCAGAGAATTTACTTTGCATTCAAGTTTTACATAACATTTGTAATCTGACAGTTTGAGTTATACGTTCAAAACTGTATACTGGTTTTCGCTTTGTCGTTCATCCCAGATTCATAAGTATAATTTTGTTCTATTTATATATGTAAAGACAAAGCTTTGTTTTTACAGAAATTTAAAACAAAACTATAACATTTCTAATATCACCCATCAGTCTTTAGTCTTTGTTGAATATTAATGATATTATCTGAACTTACAACGAGTGTTAGGCATATAGATGTTACTGCAAATGTCAAAACCTGCTTGATTCAAATATACCAATTCAATATTATACAAGTATAAATGTATTGAAAATGAAAGATAATATGTACCAAAGTTGATGAGTAATCGAAATGTTAGCCAATATTCCTGATTATACACAAGTTTCTTCCTTATGTAATGAAAATTTTCTATAGGCTCATATTACAAATACTGTGCGATTTGTTTCCTTGTGCACAATAAACTGTGACGTATATCTACCGTAGGTATATCAATCTTTTGCTATCTGGTTAACATAAACATTTAAATTTCAATTGAATAATAGGGACGTGTGTATAAAAAAAGCCCAACTCGGTTTCCTCGTACTCGCCTTTTTGTTTAAGGTATAAAAAGTTTACTTTATTTCTAAAATGTACTTCGACAGAAAATGCTTTAAGGATTGTCATATAAATAATATACACTGCTACGTGTATGTAATTGTTTTCTTTTATTGAAAATTTGCTTAATAAATTTGTTTAATGTGAAATACCTAGGCAACGCTTCTGTTGAAAACAATGGCTGCTATTCCACCAATCTGAAAATAAAGCTTGTTATTAAAATATGGGGAAATTTGCAGAAACGCCATTCAGGGATTTTATTTACATGATAAAAGAAAGAGACTGCCGTGACAATCTGTGTTTTTATAAAAAAAAAACCTACTTATCTATAAAACAATTTGGGTAGAAGGCCAGAAAACGACGAAAGTACACTAAAAAGTAAACATACACAAAGGTATTACTGTTTTTCCATCAATGCTGTTGAACAGCTTCATAACTAAAGATTTCCAATCCAATTTTACCTCTTCTGAGTAAAACAAATTTGCAATTAAAGTATCACATGTATAAAGAAGTTCAGGCATTAAACTTTTCAGCTTAACTTTTCTGCTGAATATATCACAATTTCATGTGTAGGCAATGAAAAAATAATTCAGGAAGTATATAAAAAGCAATTTGTATTGAGTCTGGGCATTCATTAGTTATTTTGAACCTAAACGGTCATTTTGATAGGAACAGCGCTTAATAGACTGAACAATATATTGTTCTGTCATTTTAAGTTTAACAGTCAATTCATTACTGTTCAGACATTTCTTTAGCAGTCAATTAAGATATGTACAGTCTATTTTCAGACTGTTCATTAGCTAATATTTACCTGTATACATCAACATTATACTGAATTGTCTGAAAGGCTACTAATCAGTACTGAACATTACTGAATTGACTCAAGCGTATGGTCTCAGCAGTACTTAATCAATCGCAGTGGAAATTAAAATGACCGTTTTAAATTAAAATTCATTTACTAGTGATCCGTCCGTCTTTTCTCTGGTCAGTCCTATATCAGGTAATGTTTTGGCATAGGTATTTACCATTAAGATCACATCAACTTGAAACTTTGAAAATATGTTTATTATGATGTGACCTAGTTAAATTATATGCTAAATAATGGTTTTTAACCCGATTACACGGTTTACTGAGAAATGTGATGACTGAAAACTAGTGATTAATGCTAAGGTTAATGTAGTTTATACTATGAAGTTTGATTGGTCATATAAACTTGAGTCTAAGCACTTATCTTCATTGTGAGTTGAACATTTCAAGTTATATGAAAAATAGTGTTCATGGTTACCTGAACATGGACAAAAGGATGGTGAGGGAGGGCATGATGTGTAAGGAGACTTCTTATTATTTATTTTTTATCATTACCTTTTTTTCTGCATTTTCAGTTCATGCTGGTAAAGGAGGTTATATTGATTAATGGTAAAAAGAACTAGAACTCCCAAGAATATTCGAATTATTAGGCAATAAGGAAAACAGTCATTGAGTACCAGTTAACAGTCCTGTCTACTGGTATTAAGCGAGACAAATGAAATCACCAAAGTATATTGAATTTACAAACAGCATTATAGAAAAAAACCAATGGTAATTATGTAACTTTTAGGCAGCAGCATCGTTACAAACCTGAACATTAGATTTAAGGAACATCTTGTAGATTAAGATTAAGAAAAAATGGCAACTGCTGATATATCACATGTTTCTGAAGAAGAAGAGAACTATTTGAGAATGAATTTGTTACTAACTGGCATTTCTCCAAGGGCTGTGCGTGTATTATTTGATAATGAGTTCCACCCTTCTTGCTTAGAAGCCTCAATTAAACAGGACATGGGAAAACTTCTTGACTTGAAAAAGAAGCGTGTCATTAATGCAGCTCAATGGAACCTACTGTGTCCCCGTAGTGGTACGTATTAGTTCTATAAATCTGGTTAATTAAACATCTTGTTTGCACCTTTTGTAATGTTCTTTGATAAGTTGAAAAACTTGTAATAATTGTCTGTCAATGAGAAAGTAGTCTAACTGAACATGCTAAATATATGAAAAGAAAGTGTATGTAAGCATAAAGTACACACAACATAATTCAGTTAATATAATTAAGAGAGGAGAAATATACCAATAGGATATTCAAAATCATATGTCGAATACAAACTGACTATGCCATGAGTAAAACCGAAACACAACATAAAAAACTAAGCACTGTGCAACACGAACCCTACCAAAAACCGTACATCAAACCAGGTGCTAACAAAGGGAAAGCACATCCTGCTCCGCATATGTCACTCGTCGTGTTGATCAGGTTAGTATAAACTCGGTGATTAGTCAGATTTGGTAGGTCACATTCTAGGTAAAGAAAAGAGGATAAACGATTCGACAATTGGAACATAACCGTTAGAAACATATATTCCATAACGGGCAAACCTCTCGTGAAGGCGTTCCTAAAATTGTCTATGGGATGATTTCAATCACTCGGAGCTCTTGGTTTAATAGTTCATTTACAAGCATCAAACCATTGTCATGGAAATTGTTACAGTAAACGCAAGCCTTTGAGTATTGTATTGACTTGGAGATATATAATCTATTAGCAGGGCGCCGCTTGAATGTTAATACAATGAACCGGAAACTCATAATTTGGAAGCTAAATCGTTTCTTTTTGTCCCTTTGATAGAAGACAGGGCTATCTATGTTGTTATAACTTGTATCTGATGCTTTTGAGCTTAATGTAGTAAGAAATAAAAAATGATAAATTTAATTCTCTTTGTGTTTTAAAATCTTGTTTTCAACTGACCTTTTTTGTCAATAAGTGAAGTGACATAGCTAACACATGTTCCACTTTAATGAAACACCCTACCTGCAGATTAAGCTAGGATCTTTCGGTTTAAGAAATGTTTTAACTTATTTTTTGCCTGGTCGAAGAATCGACAAAATGTGCATTTTTTTTTTTAAATTTGAAGTAGTTGAGATTGTCATTAATGTTTAACAAATTCACGAGGGTATATTAAAAGTCAGAAAATAATGCCTGAATTGGAAAAAAAGAACAAGAAATAGCTGCTCTTGAATGAAAGAGTAAACAATAGAAATTTTTTTTCAAGTCGTTTTGAATAAAAAAAAATGTAATCACCAAATGCCCAACAAGAATAAGGCAGAGACGAAACAGAAAATTGGTTTCAATTGATATTCTTTACATTACGTGTACATTTCTGAACTTTACCGTTTAATCAAAAGAAAAGAAGATAATTTTGTTTCTGTTTTTAAAATTATATACCGGCGTCAAATGTTTCTCAAGGAAACTGAATACAATGGTATAAATCAAGTACTTTTGGTTAGTGTATATTTGTTTGTTATGAACATTGAGATTGTAAGGGTATGAATTTTGACACGAGCAGTCTATTACATGTATGGACCCCTTCAGAAAGAGTTGCTGCAATTTAAAATTAACATGTAAAGGACACAACATTTTAAGAACACCGTGCTTCACATTGTTTATCCCTTTGTGTAAACATTCCGCATCAGTCTGAGTGATATCCACACGCCATGTAATACATTTGTATTATTGTTCAGACATCATTTTCATCGCCGTCTTCCTTCAGAAATTGCTTAGTGACTAAGATGATTCCTACATCTCGCATACCCTTCACACGATAAAATACGTGTACAAGACAAATACTGTGTATTGAATACACAGTTTTTAGTTTAATCTCTTTATGTAAGATCTTGAAGGATCTCTGATGACAATAGGTCCCTTGAAATAAACCGGTATGCGTTCTAAAATTTTCAAATACATGTATGGTCTTTAAAACAGTAAATAAATCTTTATTGCTTTTCGATAAGACCAAAAAATTATCATGAAAGTCAACTCCAAACATTTTTTCATAGAAGTACATGAATATACTATAATTGTTGCCATGTTGCTACGTTTTGTGGGTATGACTACAGCATAAGCTATCAAATTTTCTTCGAATTAGGATACCTTTTTGTAAAAGCTGGCAAGAATATGGACTATGTTTTCAGTATTTTCTGCAGAAATTGGAATTGAAACAACGTTTTGCACTTAAACAAACATAAGGTCTACATTTGTTTTTATCTTGTCGATTGGTAAACAGGCCATATGTTTAATATTAGAATCATCAAACGTCATAGCTCTTTCTAGCTCAATTTTAACCCTAGAAGAACCTACAGTAGAACAAAAGTAGCATAACAAAAATACCGAATTGCAAGGGAAATCCAAAACGGAATGGCCGTTATAAAATGGTAAAATCAACAACTCAAACACACCAAACGAATGAAAAACAACTGTTCTTTCCTGAATTGGTACAGACATTTTCTTATGACGAAATGGCGAATTAAACCTGATTTTATAGATAGCTAAATTTCTCACTTGTGTGCCAGTCGCCCTAAAATTCCATTATATTAACAACAATATGTGAGCAAAACAAACAGACACAATATAGCGCTTCTTGTGTCTGTAATATACTGATTGCCAATAAAAATGCAACACTTTGTTTTTTTTAAAAATATCATTTTTATACAAAATAATATTTTCTTTACAGTAATTGTTACTGACAGATAATGGGTTTATCTAAAGATAAAAGTCAAACAAAAATTTTCAAATTACCACGATTCGAATGCAATGCGTTCATGCAACACAACGCTACAATTCACTACTCACAGTCTCAATAACGAATGTGTCCACCGCGTGCTGCAACGCAATCTCTACAACGACGTGGCATTGACCTGAGCAGACGTCGGATACGGTGCTGTGGAATGTTTGTCCATTCTTCCCGCAATGCAATTTCAAGTTGGCGCAGCGTAAATTGTGGTGGCTGTCGTCGTCTTACGGTTTGTCCAATTTGATCCCATAAGTGTTCAATTGGACTCAAATCCGGCGAAAAGGCTGGCCATGGTAATTTCTGAACATGGTTGTTATTGATGAACGCAGTTGTGAGTCGTGCGGAGTGTGCACGAGCGTTATCTTGTTGAAAATGATTAACATCTTGATGCCAAGTCATAAACGGTATAACGGTCGGCCGTAAAACTTCAACAATGTAGCGTTTGGCGTTTAAATTGCCATTGATAATGATAAGTGGAGTTTTATGGTTGAACGATAATCCTCCTCATACCATGACACTACCACCACCCCAACGATCTGTCTCTTGGATACATGAATCTGCATAGCGTTCTCCTCTTCTTCTCCACACACGAGTTCGTCCATCACTACGGCGAAGATGGAATCTTGATTCGTCCGTCCATAAGACAGTTGTCCATTGCCTGTGTGACCATCTCTGACGCTGTTGTGTCCATCTAAGGCGATTTTGGCGTCGTACTGCTGTCAGCATGTTGCCACGGAAAGGCCGCCGTGTCCTTAATCCACTGCTGCGCAAACGGCGTCTTACCGTGTTTGCTCAAATTTGTCTCCTATGGACGCCGACAGTCTCTCGTGTTGATTGGACAGCCGTACGGAAACGATCTCGCAGGTGCTGAAGACGAATGTATCGGCCCTGTTGGGCAGTAGTTGCTCCCTGTCTTCCGGGACGTGGCCTATCATTCAAAGACCCAAATTGTTTGAATCTTTGGATGAGTCTGGTAATTGTTGAGGCCGAACACTGCATTCAACGTGCAATTTCACGACTTGAAATGCCTCCTTGCACCATGCTCCAAACTTCATATCTCTGTTAGTCTGAAAGTCTTGGCATCTGCGTCTTAATTTATTGCAGTGGCTTACAAAAAAGGATGGGAAATTTCAATTCTTAAGCAAGGCTTTCAAAAACAAACATGAGAAAATCACTCGTGCGTAAAATAGCGGTACACTCGACTCTCCTCCCTATTCTGTAACCAAGCACGTAACTTTTTTTCTAAAATCATTCAAGCGTAAAGTTGTCGAAAGAAGTCTGAAAGTTCATTTGCAAACCGATATAGGTAATCATTTAAAAAAAATATTTATATTTTTTTTAAATATTTGAAATTTACAAGTGTTGCGTTTTCATTGGCACTCAGTATAAACTCAAAGACAGCCATCGGTATGAAGTGAAAGTTTTTTTTTCACTATTCCCAGAAATGATGTCAATATTATAACCTCCTCTCTGTATTATATGAGCCTCTTTTGTAAATGCAGTAATACCTCTAGGTAAATATGACATGTTTGGATTCTGCTTATTTCCAAATATTTTAAGCATGCAAGTGAGATGTCCTCATACTTCAGAGTATAATGCACAAACTCTATGGGAATTTCGATTGTCATTCCTTTTCATACGAACTCATGGTGTAATTCTAATCCTAACTAAATATGGAAGAGGAAAAAATAGTTTCGTAAAATAAATTTACATATTGCTTTTGCCGAAACTTTGTACATCTTGTTGGCATGAAATTCAGATGCATTACACTCATCAATGAAGTGTAAACAAGAATTATCCACAACATAAACTTCGTAAGTTATCAAGGAGTGTTTGTTGTCTGGAATATCACATAAATATTTCAGATGGTGTTGGGTAAGTCCAATTTGACTTTATATTGTTAATGATTGCATTTGACTAGAAACTGAACCATTGAAGCGGCTGAATGTGATGTTTGGTCTTCATTTGACTAGAAACTGAACCATTGAAGCGACTGAATGTGATGTTTGGTCTTCATTTATAGTGATTCTCTCAATTTTCGTTTTCAATTTATGACAATCTTTAGTGAGATAGATTTTAAATGGCTTCAAAATTCGAAATTGAACTACGAAACACTACATTTATGAGCAGCAACCCTAACATTAAGGAAATTGTGAGAGGAAACAAAATCCCTGCAATATATATCGTATCAGCTTGAATATATATTCCCCATATGCAGGCGCTACTGGAATGTTGCTTCATAGAAATGAAAAAATCACAATTGGTAAGCTGAAATCATCTTGTCGGTCGTAGAGTTTTAATTTCTTGATGTAAGACAAGCTTTGAGACAGGCTTAACTGTATTTGATGTAACGTTTATTTCATGCTCGATGGGATAGATGCGTTCAAAAAATTCATCAAAGTTTGAATTATTTAGGAACGAGGTTTTCAGATTTAAACCAATTCGTGTTTTTAGCTTACCTAGCTCTATTGGCCATGTAAGTTACTACCAACAATGGGTCAGTAGATGTCGCAAATTTATTAGCTCACCCGGCTTAAAGGGCCATGTGAGCTACTGTCATCACTTAGCGTCTATTCGTCGTCGTCCGTGATCGTTGTTCCTCGTTATCGTCGTTTCAAACTTTTTCAAAGATCTTTACATCTTAAACTACTGAAACAATTTTATCCAAACGTTTGGTGAATGATACTTAGGGAGTCTAGTATTTAATCTATCGGTCAATACATCTGAGATCATGATTAAAGATAGATCATAATAAAAGACAAATAAGTTGTCTAATACCATGAAAACTATAACAGAAGGAGAAAATTTTACATGAAAACTCATAACGTCAATTTCAAACTATTATTTTGCATCGCAATTAATAGATAACTTCGTAGGAGTAATTGCCCTCAAATTACTTAAATGATTTAAGTTTGAATAATCTTAATGTTCTTATTTATTAACATTAAAACTGTTTCCGATATGCAAACACAGGTAAACATTTAAACAATCAGATGTACAAGGTCTAAAAAATAAATAAGTAGTAACTGTTAACAGCATTAACAGCAACATATATTAGATCTACAAAACAATTTCTACTACAATTGGACGACCCATTAAGGAGTTCTAGCCTGAAATAACGGTTTTTGAATGATTTACCTTTATATCCAATTCTTTTCTATATGTAATCTTCTCTGAGACTACCAAACCAATTTGGCCGAACTTTGGATGGATGAGCCTTATGGAATCTAGTATAAAGTTTGTGCTTTTTGGTTCGTCGGTAAACAAACATGACTACGGCCGCCATGGCTAAAAATAAAACATCAGGTAAAATGCATTAATTGTCTTAAATATTGATAACTATAATAGAAAAACAAAATCTGTCATAGTTGAAAACAATAGTAATTAAACAAATAATGTGGAGAGCAAAACTAATCAGCTATACAAAATCTACAAAGACACCATATGACCTTATATACCAGGTGGTCCCTTACAGAAGTTATTGCCCTAAAAAGATGATTTTTCTTCTTCTAATTACCAAGTATTTGCCTTTTATCTAAAATAAATGATAGATCGATAAAAACGTTTAATAAATATAAAAAAGTACAAGTATACAAGATCCATAAGAATATCAATATGACAGAAATCATTTGCTGATCCCATATAGTAGTAATTCATTTTGAAATGTTTTGTCCGGTGAGCAATTCAGACTTTTATATCCTCTTGTTTTAAAATTTTGTCTTTTGAGATTAAGGGATCAAATTCACCCAATCCTTAATGTGATTGTGTCATATGTTATACATACATTGTATAGGTAGATAGAAACAGTGTACCGTAAACTGATCTGCAATAAATTCCCAAAATCGCCGATATTTCTGAAACCATTGGAAGACTCGTTTTAGGAGTTAACTAAATGCTTTTATGAACGAAATCATTGGTTGTCTACTTATACTTTTATAGAAGTAAAAACCTTAAATGAAGAATTTGACTAATTTCAAGTGTTACCTAAAATCTCAATAAAAATGGCCAAAAGAAAACTCTTTATGCTTTTTCCATTTGGTTATCAACCAAAAGATAAAGAATAAGCCACTTCTCATTTGATTTCCCTCTATATGTGGTTACATATACATGCATCAAGGAACGGATTCAAGGTTTTTTGACTGGACATGCCATATTATGACCTATATGATCAATGGCGACATACTATGCTGAGTCATGTTTCCAGAAAATAAATATTATAATATGAAAAGGCTTTGATCTTTGAAATGTGTCTCAAATTCACTAAAAGGATTTAATAATGTTTATATTGAATATAAATTGAAACCAATATTTATTTTCATTTATAATGTTAAACAAACATACGCATATCTTTATTTTCAGGTACCCCTAACTCTTCCTCATTTGATGTTACATTAATGGTTGCATTACTAAGGAATTTAACGAATTTGCCTCCACCAGCTGGTGGATATGACCAATTACCATCTAGTACAGATACCACAACCACAGCAGACCTAGCAAGAATAAAATACTTCAGAAATCAGCTAGCTCATTATGATGATGGAAAGATCAAGTCTACATTATTTATCGCTGCATGGGATGATATCAGTGGGGTGAATATATCCTTTATAATATATTGAAATGATCAGCTTATATTGTTAGAATGCAATACATAGGTCCCAACATATTAAAAACAACCGCTATATTTTACAATACAACACAATATGGAGCTTTGATGACCTTTTTTTTACATATGCATCATCCAATAGGGTTATATTGCATTATAACTATTCTTTTTTCACTGTCTGTTAACTTTCTTAAATGTTTGAGAAATTATGCACCTGACAAGGGATGCATCAATAATTTTCTCCAATAAACAGACTGGTCAGTATAATTTGTGATGTAGCCCTTTTGTCGTCTTTTTAAATCAGATCGTAACCTTTACATGATGAAAAGAGGAAAGTCCTTCCAATTCAGTTTCCTAATACAGGAATTGATGCTATTAACATCAGCAACGTTCTTCTTCATAAGGAGGTAACATAAGAAATCCCACTTCATTTTCAAAACCAGTCTTTGCATATTGTATTCTACAGTTACACCAACACAATTGCAACTTTAGATTCAACTATTAGCAAGCATTGCATGGCCTTGATTAAGGAGAAACCATAAAAAACCTCTGTTCCCAATTGCTTTATATGTAAAGACAGTCTGGTCATGTTATTACTGGGGATTCAACATGAACATCTCTGAAATGTGATATCTTATGATCCTTATTTCAGAGAACCCCAACACATCAGTCGAAATCATAACTTCAAACTGATTATGGATTCTATTGACATCATTGAGGACTACGTCAGAGCATTATCAAAACGAGAAGAAGTCAATCTGGATACTTTGTCAGAATTGATAAAAAATAATCAGATATCTGATAAAACCTCGAAAGTTGACAAACTGTGTGAATGATCGACCAAAGCCCGTTTTAAGAGACAAAGAAGCTGTGAAATGTCTATCATCTCTTCACGATAAATATGTTATTGTTCCTGTGGACAAAGCTTCAAATAATATTGTCTTTGTATGTAAATCGTTCTACTCCTAGTGTCTTGTAAAAGAATTATGAGCACTTACGTAATCCCGTATACAAAAAAACATACCATTTGACAAGGATTAAATTTTGGGAAACATAAGTCCTTCATGTCTTCAATGAACATTACATTAAAAAGCAAACTAAGGACTTACCTTGTGTGTAAGGGATATCAAGGCTTCACAAAATTCCGTACAAGGTACATTGCCGGCTTATCTGTATGTTTTACAAAAGGATTGTCCATTGAAAAAATTCTGTCTGCAATGAAAGACAGTCTAAAAAAAAAAATACTGTGAAACTGTGTATTCGCATAGTGGTATTAACCATATGTGGATTCTAAAACTATAAAGAACGTCCGGATAATTTTAAATGTCGATCTTTCTCTGGAATTAATTTTGTCAACCCTGTATAACACCAATCCCCATGTGAAATTGACAAATCGTCTGAATGAAATAATTCATAATACTTTTCAATATAAAATGAAAACAAATGTTTTTCATTACCTTGGAATACCATACGGCATATTTTGTTAATAGTGACGTGAAAGTAAAACATGCTACACAGAGGAACATGTGATCAGTAATCTGGAATTTCTTATTTGCAACACATTTGTTTTTTTTCTTTTGAGGTTGACTTTCTCAACAAATTGTCGGCATTCGTATGGGAACTAACTGTGCGACTCTATTTGCCGACTTCGTATTTTCATATGAGTCGGAGTTCCTTTAAAAACAAGATGACAAAAGAAGCCAGATCATTTAATTAACATTCAGATATATTGATGATGTTCTTTCCATTAACAATCCAAACTTCTCTGAGTGGTTTCCATTGATATATCCTCCAGATCTAGAAATTAAAGAAACAGACTTGGCTTCCTCCGCCTTATTTTTAGACTTATAACTCGAATTTGACAGAAGCGGTCATCTCAGTACCAGAATCTATAACAAACGAGACGATATTAATTTTGAAATTATAATTTTCCTCCACCGTAGTAGCAATATACCAACTTCACCCGGATATAGAATATACATATCCCAACTCATTCGGTATTAAAGAGATTGAAGCTGCTACTCAGACTTTATGAAACTTCACCAGTGTCTTTGCTGAAAATTGGTCCTTTTTCGTAAAAAAAAGTTAATCGGAAGATACCTTGCTGATAAATATTCCGTATCAACTACACAAATAATACATGATGATCTTAAAGTACAGTTTCTAAGTTATGCCGTTGTTTTATCATTTTAATTACGTCATGGACGTGTTATAGTATTCTTTTTTTGTCTTGTAAATCATTGATATTTACTGTTTGGTGTATTGTTGGAAGTAACTTTTTGGCGTGGCTCAGTACTTGAACATCTAGTCATTGTGTTATTGTGCTATGGTCATGTTTGTATTCTGTCTTGCATTATTGCTTATGTGCTTTTTCAATACGACATTTTGTTTTTCTTTGTTGGCATATTTTGTTTGTTTGTATAGTGATCAAGATTATAACACAATGATGACTGCTGTATCCCAATTTTTTACATTTTATCTGTTATATCTGTTTGTTCTGCTCAAACATTAGTGTCAAGTTAATGATATCTTATGCGAATGTCATATAAATGAGAGGTTTAGCTAGCTATAATATCAGGTTCAATCCACCATTTTCTACATTAGGAAATATCTGTACCAAGTCAGGAATATGACAGTAGTATTCCATTCGTTCGATGTGATTGAGCTTTTGGTTTTGCTATTTGAATTTACCTTGGAGTTCGATATTTTGTTATTTTACTTTTTAGTGAAAGTAATTTCCTTTTTTTTATTTTGACAATGATTAATTATTAGTTTTAAGAGTTATGGTAATACACAACAAGGTCGAAGGGATCATAAAAAATCATACACCAAATGTTGTGGGGTTTAAACTATTAAATTTAAGGCTATTGTTATAAGCTTATTTATACTATTCTTCAAATTATAGCTTTACAATGTGTACAGCTAATGAAGTTCTAATATTTTGATCTCATCATTGGTTTTTTTTATTTTTGTAGGCTGTAGGAAGACTAGGTGGTCCAAGTATGGAAGAGGAATGTAGTGAGCTGAAAACTTAACATTTAGACCAATCAACAGTACCTTGGAATATTAGAGGTAAGGATGTAATAATAGAAAGGAAATCTGGTTTTCATTATTAGTTTAAAAACTGTTTCAGATCAAATCTCCTCGCATTGTTTGAAATGATGGAAACTTTGCATGCAGTAAGGGTACATGCCTGTGAGTATCGACTGTTATAGAATCCTAGGAATTATGAGCTGTATTTTATAAATTAACTATCATACAGTGCTACATTAGAATAGTATCAAATTTCTGGCGAAACATTCTTGAGACGCAAAAAGTCGTATGAAATATTCTTTTATTATATTTATTGAAAAAGTAAATAAGATTGAAGATTTAGAATAAAGATTATTATTAACATCATAAATTATTTTCACTGTTTGAAACATCACTGTTTACGAGAAATCAAGGTCATATCTTATTTTTACCACAGTTATCATTCCAGGGTTATTCCTGGTGAAAATGTATCCATGATGAGAAATGAAGTTTGCTTTTTAGTAGGGTTGTTTTTAGTGGCGGATCCAGAAATTTTCATAAGTTGGGGCCCACAAACTCTGAATAGGCAAAGTAACTTTCACAATAACAAGTATCTAATTAAACTCATCATATATACCAGGTTTGAAATTTTGTATTTGCGCTAGACGCGCGTTTCGTCTACAAAAGACTCATCAGTGACGCTTGAATAAAAAGGTTGAAAAGGCCAAATAAAAGTGGGAAGTTGAAGAACATTGAGGACCAAAAATTTATAAAAGTTTTGCCAAATATAGCTAAGGTAATTTATTCCCGAGGTGGAAAAGCATATCTTTAGTACATTATTTACTACAAATTAAAGATTGTGAACTTATGTTTCTGAAGAGTATTTGCTTTTTTTCGATGATTCTTTTTTTGCTTTTATCAACGTTGAATATGAATAAAAGGAACTGTAGTTTATTTTTTCAGTAAGGAGACAACTAAACCACACATGATATCTAATGAGCAACATATTGTCAGTCTTTAAAAATAAAGAGATTTTCATTATTCTTCAAAAAAAAAAATGTATTAAGATATGACTTACAACAACTACTGGTGAGGTAACCTACTTGGGGGAGGCATACAAATTGTTTTTAATTAATGATATGTTCCAAAAACCAGTGTTGTAAGTTGAATTCAAATAAAAAAAATACGTGTTTATGTTTCAGTGCAAATGACAAAGATATTGGATAAGTGGCGGGAGAATGATGCTAGCTTTATTCGAACAACAGCTGCTACAAAAGTATTCGAATGTGTTCAACAAAATAGTTGTGTAACTATTACTGCTAGTTCTGGTGTTGGGAAGACAGCAACCCTACAACATGTGGTTTTGGAAATGGCAGATGAAGGGTATGATGTACTACTAGTAAACAATCCATATGACATTGTTAAGTTTTATAATCCAAATAAGAGAACATTGTTTGTTATTGATGACTTCTGTGAAACATATTCTATAAACCAGTCTGATCTTCACAACTGGAAACCAGTCATTAAGCGCATTGTAGAACTGATTCAGAACAAACTCACAAAAATTATTGTGGCCTGTAGATTACAAGTGTACAAAGATGAACAGTTTGAATCTTTGTCAATATTCAGAACCAACGTATGCAATTTGTTATCAGAAGACTTGTGCTTGTCACAAACTGAAAAGAATTTGATAGCAGAGAAATATATGGAAGCAAAAGCTTCAGATATTATAAAATATAGTGGTCTATTTGATTGTTTCCCACTTCTGTGTAAATTGTATCATGATAATCCTACACTCAATAATACAGATTTCTTCCAGAATCCTTTTTCAGTGTATGAAGCTGAGGTTGACCAACTGAAAAAGAATAAGCTTTTCAGTAAATACTGTGCCTTGGCATTGTGTGTTATGTTCAACAATAAGTTGGAAGAGGAAGTGTTGGCAGACGACATAGATACAGTAACAAGAACTATCATCGAGAACACATTTGAGGCATGTAGACTAGATAAAGGTACATCAGGGTTAACTTTATTAGATGAACTTGATTCACTTGAACAAACATTCATTAAGAAAGATCAATGTGTATACAAAACTGTGCATGATAAACTTTTTGACGTTTTATCTTTTTATTTTGGAAAATCTATGAACCAGTGTTTGATAAGAAATGCACACAGTCAATGTATTATGGAACGAATTTTATTAGAAAGAGAAAAAGACATGGATCAGTTCATAACTATTGTTCCACCTAAATACCATGAAATGTACATACAAAGAATGGTTAATGACTGGTCTAATGGTAAGGTAGTAACTGTATTCTGTAATATTAATATGGCCAATCCTCAGTTCAGACAGAGATTCCTGTGTTATTTAAACATACTTGACTAATCATACCAAATACAATTAGCACATACCTGTGATAACTATAGCAAAGATACTGCATTATTACAGTGCTGTTTTAATGGAGATATTCCTTTAATTCGTTGGTTATGTTACCAATGTGTTGATGTTAATACCTGTAGAAATGATAGTAATAGCCCTCTACATATATCATCACAGAAAGGTCACACTGAGGTTGTGAAGATTTTACTTGACGCCAAGGCAGACGTACATAAATGTAATGACACTGTTAAGCTGTTACTTGACAACAATTCAGATATAAATAAGTGTAGAAATGATGAAGCATCTCCCCTGTTTATAGCTTGTCATGATAATCTTGTAGATATAGTAAAACTGTTACTTTACAACAAAGCAGACATTAATAAGTGTTGGAAATATGAAACCTCTCCCCTGTTTGTTGCCTGTCAGAAGAATCATGTAGACATAGTAAAGTTGTTACTTGAAAACAAGGCAGACATCAATAAGTGTGCAGATGATGGAATATCTCCCCTGTATATTGTTTGTCAGGAGAATAATATAGTTATTGTACAGCTGTTACTTGACAACAAGGCAGACATTAATAAGTGTACAGATGATGAAACATCTCCCTTGTTCATTGCTTGTCAGGAGGATCATATAGATATAGTAAAGCTGTTACTTGACAACAAGGCAGACATTGATAAGTATAATGATGAAGGAATATCTCCCTTATATATTGCTTGCCAGGAGAATCATGAACTTATTGTGCAGTTGTTACTTGACAACAAGGCGAACATTAATAAGTGTTCAGATAATCAAACATCACCCCTGTTTACTGCTTGTCAGAACAATCATGTAAACATAGTAAAGCTGTTACAGGAAAACAATGCAGACATAAATCAGTGTAGGAATAATGGAATATCTCCCTTATATATTGCTGGTCAGATGAATCATGTAAACATAGTGAAGCTGTTACTGGACAACAAGGCAAACATTAATAAGTGTAACGATGATGGAATATCTCCCCTATATATTGCTTGTCAGGAGAATCATAAAGTTATTGTAAAGCTGTTACTTGACAACAAGGCAGACATTAATAAGTGTACACACGATGATACATCTCCCTTGTTCATTGCTTGTCAGGAGAATAATGTAGATATAGTAAAGATGTTACTTGACAATAAGGCAGACATTAATGAGTGTAAAGATGATGGAATATCTCCCATGCTTATTTCTTGTAAGAGGAATCATTTAAATATAGTAAAGCTGTTACTTGACAATAAGGTAGACCTTAATAAGTGTGCGAACGATGGAACATCGTCCTTGTTCATTGCTTGTCAGGAGAATCATGTAGATATAGTGAAGCTGTTACTTGACAATAAGGCAGACATCAATAAGTGTAAAGATGACGGAATATCTCCCATGCTTATTTCTTGTCAGAGGAATCATGTAGAAATAGTAAAGCTGTTACTAGACAAAAAGGCAGACATTAATATGTGTAATTATGATGGGATATCTCCTCTATTTATTGCGTGTGACAGGAATCATGTAGATATAGTAAAGATGTTGCTTGAAAAAAAGGCAGCCATTAATAGGTGTAAATATAATGGAATATTTCCCCTCTTTATTGCTTGTCACAGGAATCATGTAGATATAGTAAAGCTGTTGCTTAACAAAAAGGCAGCCATTAATAAAAGTACAATCGATGGTACATCCCCCCTTTTTAATAGTTGTCAGTATAATCATGTAGATATGGTAAAGCTGTTACTTGATAACAATGCAGACATTAACAAGTGTCGATATGATGGCACATCTCCTCTGTTTATTGCTTGTCAGGAAGGGTATCAAGATATAATAAATGTTTTGCTTGATAAAAATGCAGACATTAATAAGTGTACAAATGATAAAACATCTCCTCTGTTTTTTGCTTGTCAGAAAAATCACTTAGATATAGTTAAGCTGTTACTTGACAACAATGTAGATATTAACAAGTGTAGATATGACGGCACCTCTCCTCTGTTTATTGCTTGTGAGGAAGGGTATCAAGATATAATAATGTTGTTACTAAACAGCAAGGCAGACATTAATAAGTGTACAGATAGAGGCGCATCTCCTCTGTATGTAGCTTGTCAGAAGGATCATATAGGAATAGTAAAAATGTTACTTGACCACAAGGCAGACGTAAACCGGTGTACACTTGATAACACCTCTCCCCTGTATGTTGCTTGTCAGAATAATCATGTAGATATAGTAAAGCTGTTACTTGACAACAAAGTAGACATTAACAAGTGTAGATATGACTGCACATATCCCCTATATACTGCTTGTCAGAATAATCATGTAATCGTAGTAAATATGTTACTTGACAGCAAGGCATGCGTTAATCAGTGCACAGATGATAAAAAATTTGCCCTGTTTATTGCTTGTCAGAATAATCTTTCAGATATAGTACAGCTGTTACTTGATAACAAGGCAGACGTAAATCAGTGTTCACTTGATAACACCTCTCCCTTGTATGTTGCTTGTCAGAATAATCATGTAGATATAGTGAAGCTGTTACTTGACAACAAAGTAGACATTAACAAGTGTAGATATGACTACAGCTCTCCCCTATATGTTGCTTGTCAGTATAATCATGTAGATATAGTAAAGCTGTTACTTGACAACAAAGTAGACATTAAAAAGTGTAGATATGACTGCAGCTCTCCCCTATATATTGCTTGTCAGAATAATTATGTAGATATAGTTAGGCTGTTACTTCACAACAGTGCAGTCATCAATCAGTGTAATGCAGACGGAATATCTCCTCTGTATATTGCTTGTCTGATGAACAATATAGATATAGTGAAGATGTTACTTGACAACAAGGCCGACGTTAATAAATGTACAGATGATGGAACATCACCCCTGTTTATCGTCTGTCAGAATAATCATATAAATATATTAACGCTATTACTTGACAACAAGGCGAACATTAATAAGTGTAAATATGATGAAATATCTCCCCTATTTATTGCATGTCTTGAAAATTGGGAACATGTAGTAAAGTTGTTACTTGACAACAAGGCAGATATGAATAAGTGTTTAGATGATGGAAAATCTCCCTTGTTTATTGCTTGTCAGACGAATCATGTAGATATAGTAAAGCTGTTATTAGACAATGAGGCAGACATTAATAAATGTACAGATGATGGCACATCTCCCATGTGTATTGCTAGTAAGAATAATCATGTACCTATAGTGAAATTGTTACTCGACCACAAGGCAAAAATCGATAAGAGGACAGACGATGAACCATATCCATTGTTTGGTGCTTGTCGGGAGAATCAAATCGATAAAGTAAAGCTGTTACTGGACAACAAGGAAGACATAAATAAGTGTAAATATGATGGAATATCTCCCCTATATGTTGCTTGTCAAGAGAATCATAGAACAATGGTACAGTTATTACTTGACAACAAGGCAGACATTGATCAGTGTAAATATGATGGAATATCTCCCCTGTTAATGGCTTGTAAGAAAAATCTTTTAGATATAGTAAAACTGTTACTGGATAACAATGCAGACATTAATAAGTGTAAATATAATGGAATATCTCCATTATTTATTGCTTGCAAGGAGAATCATGTAAATATAGTTAAACTTTTACTTGATAACAAAGCAGACATTAATAAGTGTAAATATGATGGAGTATCTCCCCTGTTTATTGCGTGTGAAAATAATCATGAAGCTATTGTACAGCTGTTACTTCACAACAATGCAGACATTAATAAGTGTAAATATTATAGAATATCTCCTTTATTTATTGCTTGTCAGATGAATCATGTAGAGGTAGTACAACTGTTACTAAACAATAAGGCAAACATTAATATTCGTCATTTTGGTGGCAAATCTGCCCTGTTTATTGCGTGTAAGAAAAATCATGGAGCGATTGTTAAAATGTTACTGAACAACACGGCAGACATTAATAACTTGACATATGATGGAAAATCTCCCCTTTATATTGCCTCTCAGGAGAATCATAAAGCTATTGTACAGATTTTACTTGACAATATGGTAGACATTGATAAGTGTATATATAATGGTATATCTCCATTATTCATTGCTTGTCAGAAGAATCATGTAGATATAGTAAAACTGTTACTTGACTACAAGGCAGACATTAATAATAGTAATTATTTTGAAAACTCTCCCTTGTTAACTGCTTGTCAGAATAACCATGTGTATATAGTGAAACTGTTACTTGAAAACAAAGCAGACATTGATAAGTGTACAAGATGGGCATTTCTCCTCTGTTTATTGCTTGTCAGAAGAATCATATAGATATAGTAAAACTGTTACTTAAAAACAAGGCAGACATAAACATGGGTATATCTTCCCTATATATTGCTTGTAAGAACAAACATGTAGATATTGTAAAACTGTTACTTATAAACAATGCAGACACTAACAAGTGTACAAAATGGAACAGCCTTCCTCTAGATATTGCTTGTCAAGAGAATCATGAAGCTATAGTCCAGCTGTTACTTGAAAATAAGGCAGACATTAATAATTATAATGGTTATGCAATGTTTCCCTTGTATGTTGCTTGTCAGAATAATCATATAGGTATAGTAAAGCTGCTACTTGATTACAAGGCAGACACTAATAAGAGTATGATCGATGGAACATCTCCCCTGTTAATAGCCTGTCAGATGGAACATCTTAATGTAGTGAAGATGTTACTGGACAACAGTGTAGAAATTAATACGTGTAAAATTAATGGAACATCTCCACTGTATATCGCTTGTCAGAAGGGTGATATAAATATAGTAAAGTTGTTACTTGACAACAAAGCAGATATAAATAAGTGTAGGATTGATGGCACATCTCTCCTGTATGTTGCTTGTCAGATGGAACATTTTGATATAGTAAAGCTGTTACTTGACAAGAAGGCAGACATTAATACGTTTAAAAATAATGGAACATCTCTCCTGTATATTGCTTGTTTGAAGGGTGATGTAGACATAGTAAAGTTGTTACTTGACAACAAAGCAGACATTAACAAGTGTAACAATGAAGGAACATCTCCCCTGTGTATTGCTTGTCAGGAGAATTATGTAGATATAGTAAGGATGTTACTAGATAACAATGTAGACATTGATAAGTGTACAGATGACGGAGTATCTCCCCTGTTTATTGCTTGTCAACAGAATCATGCAGATGTCATAAAACTGTTGCTCGACAAGAAAGCAGACATTAATACGTGTAAAAATAATGGAACATCTCCCCTGTATATTGCTTGTCAGAAGGGTGATGTTGATATAGTAAAGTTGTTACTTACCAATAAAGCAGACATTAATGTGTGCAGAGAGGATGGAGAATCTCCCATGTTTATCGCTTGTCTGGAGAATCATGTAAATACAGTAAAGCTGTTACTTGACAACAAAGCAGACATTAATAAGTGTAGATATACTGGATCATCTCCCCTGTATATTGCATGTCAACATGATTATGTAGATAAAGTAAAGTTGTTACTTGACAACAAAGCAGACATTAACAAGTGTAACGATGAAGGAACATCTCCCCTGTTTATGGCTTGTCAAGAGAACTATGTAGATATAGTAAGGCTGTTACTAGATAACAATGTAGACATTGATAAGTGTACAGATGACGGATTATCTCCCCTGTTTATTGCTTGTCAACAGGATAATTTAGATATAGTAAAACTGTTACTTGACAACAAGGCAGACGTTAACAAGTGTAACGATGAAGGAACATCTCCCCTGTTTATTGCTTGTCAAGAGAATTATATAGATATAGTAAAGCTGTTACTAGATAACAATGTAGACATTGATAAGTGTACAGATACTACTGTTTATTGCTTGTCTGCAGAATCATGCAGATGTAGTAAAACTGTTGCTTTACAACAAGGCAGACGTTAACCACTGTACAGATGTTTGAGAATTTCCCCTGTGTGTTGCTCGTCAGCAGAATCATGTCGATGTGGTAAAACTGTTACTTGACCATAAGGTAGACGGTAGACATTGATTAATGTACAGACTAAAAAACGTCTCCCTTTTTCACGGCTTGTGATATGAATTATGTGTATCTTGTAGGGTTGTGACTTTACAATCAGACTGAAAGTATTAAGTGTAACAATGATGGAATATCTTCCTTGTTTAATGCTTGTAAGGAGAATCAAAAAGTTATAGTACAGATATTACTTGCAAACACGGCAGCCATTAGTAAGTGTGGAAATAGTAAAATATTACTTCTGTTCATGGCTTTTCAGGAGAATTGTGTAGATATAGCAAAGCTGTTACTTGATAACAATGTAGACATAAACAAGTGTATAGATACTGGAAAATCTACCCTTTATTGCTCGTCTGGAGAATCATGCAGGTGTAGAAAAATTGTTGCTTGACAACAAGGCAGACGTTAACCAGTGTACAGATAAGGAAACGTCTCCCCTGTTTATTGCTAGTGAGAAGAATCATGTAGATATAGTAAAGCTGAATCTAGACAATAAGGCATACATTAATAAGAGAGGAAATTCTGGAGTTTTTTTTATAGATTGTTTTTAAGATAATATAGATACAGTCATAATGTTACTGTCGGAAGGAGCAGATTACTATATACGTGCCAGTGTTGGTGAATCTCTTTTACCACCAAAATAAATTACCAGAAAACTAGGATACAATGGTATCGTTTCTTTGATGCGTGAACATTCCAAACCATTTATTGAAGAGTGATTGAAGATTTCTCTTCCGTTAAGAATAGTTTAGCTCCCATAGACCAGTCAATACATAATGAATGGATGATTGCTCTCGCATAAAATGTAAAATAAATGCGACTTTAAAGTTATAAAAACTATGAATACAACAGGGAACAAGTATATAGTTTTCGACCCATCATTCCGTCAGTCTCTTTTTGGTCAAAATTTCCATACAAATACCTAAAACTAGGGTTATAAAACTTTACCCAGTACGCGAAGTACAAAATGTTTGCTTGAAACACCAAATCCAGTTATGTATTTATTGATTTCTGAGTCTAATTACGATAGTCGTGCTCGAAACTTTTACGCCCAACACCAATTTGTAACCACTCTTAGATCTTGATTTTTTACCGATAAATTTTCCAAATTTGTCTATTCACTGCTACTAAGCTTGTATCTAAGAACATTGAAACTTCTTAGAATGTTCGTATATTTAAATTAAGTTATGCACCTCCAATTATTGATTTTTTTTATGATTTTTCTCATGATTTTCTTAATTTTGATATTTCAATATACTTGAATACTTATGATAGTCTTTTCTCCGTCGTTTAGAAAATATATGTGCAACTCGTCCATTATTGTCGATACTCTATTTTTGTAGAACATAGAACGGTTAACTTTAGTTATATATTTTGACATATAGGTCGTAGATAACCCTATGTATATACATCTGTGGCTTATTCGAATGTGTTATTTTTCTGAATAAAAAGGTTCTTATAAGTCCATGAATATGTGGTTATCTTTTAATCAAATATTACAGTACTTATCTTTCTCAGTTATTATAAACCTTACCGTAGTGTAAACAATGTTTACATATAAAGAAAACGGTGTCTCAAATTATACAATGGCCAATGTGTAAATATCTATTTGATAAAATGTAAATATTTAGATATTTTTGTTTTATTTAGTTCAGTGTATTTCAAATTTTTACCTGTATTGTATTAAATATATGTTGTTGAATTAACACAACTACATGTATGTTTGCCTGTTCTTCGTGACTGTTCCAGTGTAAATCCTTGCATGCAAAGCTAATAGGACCGTTTGATATTTTGAAGGGCGGATGAATTCATCTAGACACACTATCATTTTTCACCTTTTCTAAACAAAGGCTTTATTGCACTGTTATTGTCTGTATGCAATTTGTGGGTCATTTTTTCATACTATCTTACAAACGATAATTTATGTTCAGTTCTTATCAAGTAGCCTAATAATTTTATAATTAGTCCTTCGAAATGTACAAAGGCAGTCATATGACTTACTAATAACACAGCTGTTGCTACGTCCGACATCCAGTGTGGCTCTTGGTGTCCGCTTGACAATTTAATTCAAGTGGTAATTTTGTGTACCATTCATATTGATTAGCTTATAGGGTCTTTGCATCGGAATTAAACACATTTATTCTAAAACTAGTTGTTGGCATGACACGGGTTATGTTCTGCTCATATATTTTATGATTGCATAATACTAAACCCCTTACGGGAGGGATTGTGCTTGATATTCATATGATGAAGACATAATCTTTCAATCAGTTTAATTGAAGTCTGGAGCTGGCATGTCAGTTACTGCTAGTAGTCCTTTGTTAAATTATGTACTATTGTCATTTTGTTTAGTTTCTTTTGTTACCTATTCTAACATCGGACTTGGACTTCTCTTAAACTGAGTTTTACTGTGCGTATTGTTGTGTGTTTGTTTTTTCTACATTGGCTAGAGGTATAGGGGGAGGGTTGAGATCTCAAAAACATGTTTAACCCCGCCGCATTTTTGCGCCTGTCCCAAGTCAGAAGCCTCTGGCCTTTGTTAGTCTTGTATGATTTTTAATTCGAGTTTCTTGTGTAGAATGACGTTTGTTATCACTAAACTAGTATACATATTTGTTCAGGGACCAGCTGAAGGACTCCTCCGGGTGCGGGAGTTTCTCGATGCATTGAAGTCCCATTAGTGGACTTTGGCTGTTGTCTGCTCTATGTTCGGGTTGTTGTCTCTTTGACCCATTCCCCATTTCCATTCTCAATTTTATGATCTGTATTATTCGCTTCTCAGTTTTATTTTTACGTCTGAGACATATAATGACAACTTTATAAAAAGTATTAATATTTTCCTGAAAACGTAAACTGTTACGTATATTTTTTGCTACAATGCTACATTTAATACTTTTTAGTATATTTTTGCAGATTGTAAGGTGTAAACAGTCAAATTTTGCTGACATGAATTTCAAAAGAATGCCACGTTAAATGCGCATGAAATTGTTGTAGTCAATCAAGATATGTGATCTTGTAATTCTTGATTCTTGAAGTATGGAATCTGAAAGAAAAATCTTTTTGTACATTTATTTCTTATGAATTGGTCTTCAATTAAATTGTTATTTTGTATTTTGAAGTTGTATGTACCAGCTGTTTTGATATCATATGTATTAATGATTGTTTGAACATTTTTAATAATTACTGTCATTATAAATACAAATAAAACGATTAGAGGCACACTCGATTTCCTTCATGAGATTATCAGTTGAAAGTTGTTTAAACAGGGTTATGATTTGTTGAGTCATTATTGGCTGTCTACTAAGAGAACGTTTTGCATGTAAGTGACAAAATAGATTTTCAACAACATAGAAACCCTGCAACACTTATTTTTCAGTTGTACTATATCACAGTTAATTTTAAACAAGCTCCCAGAAACACTTTTCAAATGAAACATAGATAATATTTTTGTTGAAAAGGACATGCTGTTAGGTAAGAACACAGAAATACTCAAATGTGATAATTTTCTAAACACAATTAGCATAAATTCTAAATGGACTCTTTGGAAAATTGGGATTTCAATAAAATATAACAAAACGCTTAAAGCTCCTCAAGATATTTATAATATCTGGAAACATAATCTAAAATGTGTTCTCAATTAAAAGGCATTGACATAATCGACAAGACAAAATTGAAGTCGGTGATAATGAAAATTTAGACAATAAATATAGTATTAACTTGAGACACAGTTATTTTTTTATGGTTTATTGTATAAGAATATTGAGTTTATTAATATATATATATATACATACATTTTATTTTATAAAAGAGTGTTAGCCTATCATGCGTATTGTAGTAATGCACATCTTTTCTGATTTGTTATAAGTTCAACCAAATATTAGAACTGGATCTTTCTTCACTTAATGGATATAAAGTTTTTTTGCATTTAGTTCACATTGCAGATGATGCATTTTTCATATTCTCAGATTAACAAGTCGGACCTTGATCTTGTCGTCTTTAACATTGCAAATCACACTGTCATTGTTAAATAAGCAGACAAGAGAACATAGCATGTCCCTTCCAGAGTGTAAAGGGTGCATGGTATCTACAGTTCGTTTTGTAATACCTTACCGAAAAGAATGATTTTTTTTTACATCTGTTAACACCGTGGCATCTTGTTTTGAGTCTTTCAATTATAAGAGTAAGTAAACTGGTCATATTTGGTTGATTAAGGTTAGGACGTCAATGTTCCTTCCATGGTTAGTACAATATCATGCTCTTCAGGAGCATTGAGGCACAAGTTAGATACCTTGATCGATCAAATGATTGATTGATTGGTTATTTTAATTGTTCTTTAACGTTATACTTAGCACACATTGCTATTCTTCACGGCTATTTTGTTTTTATTCTGGGAGGCCGAATAAGGTTTATGATCGACCGCGGCAGCAAAACTTGAAATTTTAGTTTAGCCTGTGAGACAAACGGATTGCTTTTCCGGTAACTACTGCAGCGACGATGACGTCAACAATTGCTGAGTTAACCCGGAACAATGATGCTACAGTACAAAATACAGTTATGATCAAAAATGAAAGTAAAACAAAAAATGTGAGACCTAAAAAATATTGTACTTTTTTCAGCGAGATTAGAACACCTGCTTTTGTGACGTTGAGACAACACCGTCTTTCCTGAATTAAGCGCCCTAAACCAATCGGTTCGCTATATACATGTATTACGAAATAAATGGACATCCATACGTCAGTGTACTATTTTTATTAGTGTGAATAAAAACAATTTTTTTTTCAATTATCCTACATGCAAATGCTATAAATTTTATGTTACGAAAAGTTTTGTATTATTATTTTTGTTACACCAAATGTCCCTATATTGTAGCAATCAATAAACAGAACTGTTCAGTATTTGTGTTGAAAGT